AGCACCTTCTTAAACGACCTAAGTAAAATGTTTTACGAGTAAAATGGTAAAATGAAGTTTAATAGTTATTTCTCAATCCCTGAAAATTTGATGGCAATCGGATGAAAACTCGAATTTTGCGAATCAATTTTGTGTGTGGCAATTTCATCGTGGACACCCTTTAGCACCGCGTAGTGAGCAAGTTCTGAACTGCTGTCTACCAATCAATTGGACTTGACCTCCTGAACAACTTCGCAGCTGACGTTCAACCAGCACATTCCGTTTATCGTCGTATACTGCCTGAAATCACTGTATTGCTGTCTACCCATGTAACCAAAAATTTCAACATGATGCTGATATAAGCCTAATTTAAAATTTTAAACCCGTATAATGCAACACAAGTCTAAGGCCGTTCGCAATGCTGTTGTATTTTATAAGGACTGTTTCAATTTGAAACTAGAACAGAAACGCACCTCTCGCAATGCTGAGTTGCAGTTTCATTATTCGAGCACTATTTTGCACCAGATTTGCAACTACTCGACTATTCTGTTTTATTTCTGAGCGAGTTTAAAACACGAATGGAACTATGTTTCAAATTTCTTTGGATGTATTTAAAGATGTTTCGTAGAGCTTCACAAAAAAAAAACTCTATGAACTTCATAGAGAACAGTAAAGTTTATGGAACTTGATGATTACAAACATCTTTTGGAACTGTGCGTTGCACTGATCGTGTTGCAGTTTTATTTTTGACAGTTTCAAATTATAGAATTGTCGAGTCGTTCAAAACTAATTTGAAACTCAGCATTGCGAACGGCCTAAGTCATCCAAATTTCCGTTAGAAGTATGTTAGCTAGAATTTTGATTGCAATAGCAGTATTGGTAGCTCCATTTACTTGCTGAACGTTGTTAGCAGAAGGTATAGATGATTAATTTTAAGCTCTTGAGTCTGAGCTGATTGTACTTACGGGTACGAATGTAGGATTTGTTCCTCACTGACCGTTGTTAACAGCAGATAAATTAGTACCTGGTCGATAACGTGGCGCGGTTACTACCTGTCACTCAGAACGAGGTTGTAGGATCGCTTTGCGAGTCTTAAAACCCCAAAAATTTGATTTATGGTTTTCACCACAATTTGAACATTTATATTTCTTGTGATCTTCCTTCACATGAGAGGAATGCGTGAGAGGTATCACTATAATTCATGCATTTAGCTGGAATGAAAGATTTCTTTGTTCCGTGACCCCATCCCTGGCACTTACGGCACTGGGTGAGGTTTTGGAAATTTCCTACAGTCTTCCAGAAGTGTTTCCACTTCACTCGAACATGGAGCATAAGGGGCGAGCTTAAGGCCTTAGGGTTGGTTAGTTATTGATGAGACTTGAAGTGAACTAAATAAAAATTATTAGAAATTCCGTTGCGCGAATCGCCATTACGGAATTTCATTTTCATTTTGATTACTTGGACTGGCTCAACTCCAAGTAATTTGGTCAATCCATCTTTGATCTGATTCAGGGATTCACCACTGGGCAGAGCTTTCAAGACAACCTTGAACATTTGCTTTGCTTCTCAGTAAGATACTTGAGAAGACGTTTGAATCCGTCCAATACACGTTAACGAAGTTCGAAAGTTCCGTGTGAAGAGCATGTAAGTCGGAAGTTGTTTTCACAATAGGGGGACCTTTTCCTTCTTGGCATTAAGCCGGGGTATTTTTAATGGAATTTTGCCTGGATGATGGATCATTCTTATCCTCCGTGAGCATATCAAATTGATTGCTCAAATAAATTTCATCAGAAGGGGGATCAAGAGATTGCTCTTTTCTTTTACGTTAAGGCGCCATGGTGGCAGAAGACCTCCATCGACCTCCAAGCAGATTACTATAAGATTTCCAAGGATCGATGAGGGATTTTCCAAATCGATATCCAAGCAGGATTACCTCGGGTAGGGTTCAAACAAGGATCAAAGAGGAATAAGAATCGAACAAGGTAGGAAATCTTTTCGATCTTTCCTTTATTTAACGTCGGTCTCTGTTCCGCAATCTAGTGCCAATCACCGACGGACATCGATTGCCATCCATTGACGGCAATCAAATGTGCAGGAAGGCAGCTTCCACACCTGCGTAGGATATCGCACCCATTCAACACACATGGGCCGGGACCAACGGCTTTACTTCCCTTCCGAAGGAAGACGTGACCAGAGATTTTTATGCCTCAGAAAAATCCCACCGACCTCGGCTGGGATTGAACCCAGACCCATCGAGGTGTTAGAAAGCAGTCACGCTTACCACTACACCACCGGCGCCGGCCAAGGTAGGAAATGTGCAGGTAATATTTAGCACTCAGAAGTGCTGTTTAAATTTATTGTAGCTTTAGGTAACAGAAACACTTCATTTAGTAAAAATCAAATAGATCCAAGGACATTTTGAAATATTTGAGTTTTGAAAAATTATTTCTTAATTTTTACTCAAAATAAATAAATGATCAAACCGATTTGTACCTTCCTAAAAAGTTGTCCTTGCTCACTTTCTACTCTCTATATACAACTTTTACACTGCCGTACTCTAACGTAACTATAAACTCTATACTTTCATCTCCTCATATATCGTTTAAAAATTACCACTTTAGTCTGTTATTTGAAATTAGCATCTTCAACTAAATAAAACATTTTTTGTTTATTTTTCCCAGAAAGACATTATTGTTCGCTACAACTTTGTCTCAGACGCCATTTTGGTCAGAAATGCAATTTTCGTGCAACAATTTTTTGGAAATTTTCAAAGACGCCATTTTGAATATTTTACAACATTCAAAATGCCCGCATTTTAGCTAAAATCCGTAGAACTTCGAGATTTGGGCGTAATTGCTTTTGTAAACAAACATGTCAATCGCTGATTTCTTGCGAATAAAAGCTCAATCGCGCGAACAAACTATTCCAAATGACAGAGTAATCATTCCTCTACATGATTGTGTTGTTATCTTTCTAGGCTGAGATTTTATTCGCGAGAAATCGATGATTGAAGTGAACCATTGCCTATAACAAACAATTATGCAAAGTTTCAAATCGGAGACCGTCGATTCAAAAAATGTTTTTTGATATTTTGCCTGGAACTGCTCGAGTATGAAACTGAGTCCCAACGTATGCAGCAAACATGCAGTTGCATTTGCAAAGCGTGAAGTTAATGTAGTTTCCGAGATTTGTACTCTGGAAAATTTGAAGTGATAGTGCAAGTCCGTCCATCATGTTGGCCATATTTGGACTCCATCAAGAAGTGCTCAAATTGGAACAACGCAGATCGATGACGAAAAGTAAACAACTATAAAAATTTCGGCCGAATGACCCATCACCCCTGGCGCAACCCCATTAGATTGCCCCATGCGAGGAACTCCGCGGAGGAACGTGGTTCGCTGATCCACCTTTCTAAAGACACGCCGAGAGGCTCACAAGCTTTCTTTGTTGTTGATGTCCTGCAAAATAGAGTTGATTGCCCAGCTATACTGGAACAAACGAACCTCAATGTGCAGCCGAGGTCTTTGCGGAACAATCTGATGCTCCGTTTCACTGGTCCGTTCCAGAAATCCTCAGAGAAAGAGATGAACGGAGAAAATGTTTAGAGCCAAATGAACTGTCAACATATAAGCCAATCGTGCTTCTCAAATTGAACTAGTTTTTAGAATCAAAAATAATATTAGCTTTGTATAAATAATTTTTAAACTTTTATTCTTAAATGGTGCAATTTTTTTTTAGAGTGTACATATTTTTTTCAAATAGTCCCAACCGTTGACTACAACATTGCCCAAGGCATCAAACCGATCGGAGAAACCATTTTTGAGTAACAGTTTTCTAAAGATGATCTTAATATTTCCTATAAGCTCTTTTCAAAAATAAGGCTTGATTCAAAATTGCGATTTGAAGATGGCACTTTAGGACAAAAGGAACGTTTCTGCAAATTTTCATCCAAATAAAAAAATACAAGAATAAATGGATTGGTGAATTAGTGTGGAGCAATGTTGATAGACCATGGTGTAGTTAGATTGCGTGGGTGTGGTGTCATTCGTGAAAATCGACGTTCAAAGTCATTGTTTATGTTTCAGGTTAGACCCTTCAGACATGTTTCTCCTGACTTGAATTCGTCTTCCAATCTCAAACGACGGCAAAGTTTAACAAACAGCGTAGAAAAGTTTAAACATTTAATGCGCATCTCCCCATTTAGTACGAAATCAGCTGGACAGCATAACGTTGCTCAGTTCCATTTTCCCTCACCCAAGCGCACCATAAGCACTCACCCCACACGACCCCACATCCCACCCGAGAGAGGGCAAAGTTGAATAAAATGCACTAATTTCTCTCGCTGCACTCTTTTCCTCTCCCGATGGTGAGACCACTACAGACCACACACATGTGGCACTCTCATCGCTCACCAATCCACGCGTCCTCCCGCGCGCTCTGCTGCTGCATGCATTCAACCGGTGAGTGGTTCCCATGTTCACCCACAACACGTCCCCCTTAAAAATGCGCACTCGCTCACTGCTGACCCTGCAACCACTTGTCGCCTCTGTTTCCCTTAAATAATATTGCGACTGAGACTCTGGCTGGACTGAGAGCCTGTGGTGTTCCCACCAATCCCACCATCAGACACCAAACCAGCACTTGGTTGGTGAGAGATTTTCGCGAATATATCGGTCACACATCTGCCACTAAATCTGTCATTCGCCGCCGTCGTCGCCGTCAGTGTCCTTTGTTGGCTGGAAAAGTACGGTCTTGTCGTGGAAAATCTCTCGTTCATCAGTTATACCTGTGCGTGTGTGTACTAAGATATTTTCCCTTTTGACTTTCACCTGATCCGGGAACCTGTCAAACGGGACAGGTACCGCTGAAGGACGTCCAGTTCGGGACTATTCGGCGCGGATCCGGTTCCAGATTGTGTGAAAATGGCCACCAAGGGCCATGGATTTGCTTCCGTATGGTAGCGTTTGGGGCTCCTACGCGGCAGTCTGGTTTGACGAGTTTTCCTCAGCGGAAAATGCCTACATGAGATCCATATTTTCATCGTGGAGTGAGAGGTATAGAAAATAGAGGAATATTGAATGGGGTGTGCGGCGGAGGATTCGAGTAGACAAAGGAACAACATAGGCCAGCAACAGCGAGAGAGCGCTCGCGGTGTGGAAAGTGTTGGAGCAAAGGCAGAAGAATGAACAGAAAAATACAATGTGAATGCAAAAAGAGCAACTGGTGTAGTGAGAAAATTGGATTTTCCTCCTCCGTCCGAAGTGGACGACGGGCGGGCGCTATAGGTAGACGACGCGCGCGGTTGGGGATAAATCGTGACGAAGCGACGACGTCGGGAACCAGTCAGCTAAGCACTCAGCAGCAGCGGCACTAGTGCGTCCATATTTTTTGCCTCGAACAGAACGAAAACCACTGTTACGCGTAGATTTACATTGTGTGATACCGACAGATTGTGTGACTTATGGCACGCAACCGGAAATCGTTCGCTGTTCCGGAGTCTCTAACTCGAAACAAATTGTGCAGGAGTGATTGAAGAAGCTCCAAATTGCTGGGAAAAGAGTGTGATAAATCTTGTGATATGTAGAGAAAGAGAAAATCCGGGTATATTCTTGTGTATGCAGCAGGAATGCTGTGTGCTTGCATCATATGGAAGTGTCGGTAGGCGTCTGATAGCCTTGAATTCGAGAAGTGCTTACACAGGAAGTGTAATGATGTTTAGATTTCGAACTGTAACGCAATTCTCCAGCAGCAGACGCAATCAATTTTGAAAGTGTACGATGTTTATTATTAAAAACGAAAATTGAACCGAACTTAGCAAGTGAGTGTAAATATGTGTGTGCAGTCGGACGCAGTGCCGTAGCTAGAGCCTTTCGATGGCGAGCCAGATTGAACCTAAGAGGGATTGAGCGGATTGGACTTGCGAGATTCCATGTAAAACACGGAATATTTTTAGGGACGATCTATTAAGTACGTCACGATCGAAGGGGGAGGGGAGGTTCCGAAATCGGGTGACAAGCAATGAATAAGTTATAGGAAAAACGTGTTGAAAATGGGGAAGGGGTTAATTTTTCCAGAATTTCATGTGACGTACTAAATAGATGCTTCCTTATGAACGTTGACTTTCAATTAAAAGTGCTTGGATATTCGTCAAAACGGTAAAATTTTCTAGTGATGTATATAGTATTGCGCATTGCGCATGTTATAAGTCCGAGTTATAAGTTAAGCACTTTTCTTTAGCTCAGCTAGCCGGCGTTGCTAACTCGCTGACCATCTCTCCATTTTCGCTGCACCTCCGACAAAATTTGCGTCACTGCCCTGCTGATGACGCTCCACGTCCTCTCATCCCGGCACATTTCACTGACGACATTTCTCGCGCTAAGGGCCGGCATCTCCACTCGCACTGCCTCAAATCTTGGGCAGTCGAAAACCACGTGCTCCGGCGTTTCGTCCACGTTTCCACACTCCGGACAGAGGGGTGAGGTTGTGTATCCAAAGCGATGCAGGTACTTCCTGAAGCAGCCATGACCAGACAGGAACTGCGTCAAGTGGAAGTTGACTTTTCCATGCTTCCTGTTCACCCAGGTCGAAAGAATCGGTATTAGCCTGTGTGTCCATCTACCGTTATCCGCTGCGTCCCACTCCTGTTGCCACTTAACCATCGACTCCGTTCTCACAATTTTTCGTACTCCTCTGGTATCTCTTCGCATATAGCATTCGGCGTCCTCCGCCAAGGTGATGCCCATGGGTATCATACCGGCGATAACGCATACTGCTTCCGTCGAAATTGTTCTGTACTCACTCACGACTCGCATGGCCATGAGGCGGAACGTACTGTTCAATTTTCTTTGGTTCTTCTTCGATTTCAGCGCTGCATCCCAGGCTGGACCTCCATAACTCAGTATCGACGACGATACACTAGCCAGAAGACGCCTCTTGCTGCTGCTTGGTCCAGAGTTGTTCGGCATGATTCTAGCATTCTAGATCGCATTGATGGCCTTCGCCGCCTTCTCACATGCGTAGTCGACGTGGCTATTGAAGCTTAGCCGGTCATCGAGTATCTTTCCAAGATACTTCAGCACGCACTTTGATGCTATGGCGTTCTCCCAGACGGTAATTTCTGCTCGCTGAACAGCTTTACAGTTACTGACCAATAGCACTTCCGTTTTGTGGTGGGCTATCTGCAGCTTCGCTCCTTGCATCCAGTTGGAAACCGTGTCGATCGCCTCGGTTGCCAGCATTTCCACCTCTTCCAACGTCCTACTACCGCCAATACGACGTCGTCCGCAAATCCTACGATCTCAACTCCTTTGGGCAGCTTCAGCGTTAGCGCGCCGTTGTACATCGCGTTCCAGAGCGTTGGGCCAAGGATGGAGCCTTGTGGCACACCCGCCGTGATCCGGATTGATTTCTCTCCCATGTCCGTCTCGTAGACTAGAACCCGGTTCTGGAAGTAACTCCTTATAATGCTACACAGGTAATCAGGAACCCTCATTCCATGCAGTGCTTCGGCGATTGCCTCCCAGCTGGCGCTGTTGAATGCGTTCTTCACGTCGATCGTTATCACGGCGCAATATCGATCTCCTCTCCGCTTCTGTTTAGACGCTTTCTCGGCACTCACGACCACTGTCCGAATTGCATCCACCGTTGATCTCCCTTTCCGAAATCCGAACTGCCTCACCGACAATCCATGCTCACTCTCCGTGCATTTCGTTAGCCTGTTTAGGATGATCTTCTCCAATAGCTTTCCGACTATATCCAGCAAGCATATAGGCCTATACGATGCTGGATCCCCATGGCCATTCAATTCTTACCTAAGTCCATTTAGCCATCCCCCCCCCCCCCACACCATCAATGTAAGAATGTCTTTCCTTATATGACACTTACGAAAAGTTTGGAAATTCCAGCTCCCCCCGCCCCCCTAAATGGGCTCGTATATTTTGAATGATTCCTAAAACATAAATCTTGCATTATCAAACAGCATTTAAAGATATTATGTTAAAAAAAATTAGGTGAAAAAAAATGTCCAGATTTTGTTAGTGTCCGGTTTTTGTCAGCTCTAAATTCATCAGGGGCTGACAAAATCGGGACATTACTGTAGCTACTATGCCCTATCACTTAAAGTTTTCTAATGCTCAAACTACGTAGACTGTTTTGAAATTGATTATGGACTTATGACCTTTTAGAGATCCAGTTTCATTGCTGTATATTTTGTGAAAGCTGATATTTGTGATCTTTAAATTTCGAGGTGATAATGAGTTAATTAAAAATAAGGTTTCCACAGCGATTCACCGTAACGAACTTTGAGTTTGCGTAATAAGAAAGATTACGTCATGAAGTAGCCCTCGGCTAAAAATCACTGTAATAAGTAAAAAAAATAATAATTATGTTCCCTGGAGAGTCTGTTATGTTTGACATAAGGACGATTGGAGTGAGATACGCCTAAAATAATCGACATTTGACATAACCACTTCGAATCGAATTTTATTTAAACAAAGAGTAATATACATTGGAAAATTACTGCTCGTTTCTTCCCAGAGTCCAATAATATATTTTATTTTAATTAGCATAATTTTTCCCCTTTGAAACAAATCATTCGTCTTTTTTAGGGCTTGGAAAAACTGCTCGTATTTATAAGAAGAAGAAAAAACCATTGTAAAAGTTTTAGTCAAAGTCTGAGTGGTGCGGAACCCCTCGAAATGGTTGTCGAAAAACCAAGGCTTGTCACCTACACCAAGGCAAATATAGGCAGTTTCTTATGGGAATTTTCGGTGGAGTGAAAGGATAGTACAAAGTCCGCCATGTTTCACGCACAGTCTGACGGATTTTCTCATAGGAGTAAAGAGCTTCAGCCGTCAACGCCAATAAACAGATTCGTTCGAAAGATAAAGTAAAGGCTGACTAAAAGTAAATAGGTACGCACAAAAAGACCTATAATTCGTGATAAAATAAGTTTACAAAGTCCATTAATGGTTGCTTAAAAGTGCTTTTATTAAAACTTCAAAATTACAGCATTTCTCCAGTTCGAACGAAATCTCGAACCTTCCTCTAGATGGAGCCCATCAGCGCCCGCACAGTGGAAACGGACACGGAATCAGCGCATTACTTCCATTTTGCCCGCATTTGCTGCCCCACCGCTTTGAAATTGCCCAGTATTTTTCGATTGGTCGAAATTCTGGGCAATTCAGGCATATACACGCTTTTTGATGCATTCTTCGATGAAAACATGGGATGTCATCCTCGAGGATGTGACGAATGGTTCCGTTTTCAGGCCACAACTGCAAATCGCTTGCCAAATCATGGCCTTTTTCACGAACTTGTCGGCAAACACGAACTTGAATCTTCCCGGAACATCCCCACGTCCAATCGCGATGTAAAACTTTTGACCGGGAAGCTGCTTAAAATCGAGTTTGACGAATTCGTAATCGATCACTCCGGTTTTTCCAGGTGTTTGTGTACAATATTTTTCTTCTTTGTAGTTCCACTTGACGTTATTTCTGAACGCGACCGACTACTTTGATCAAAGAGGCACCCATTATTCTCTATAGAAGTGTAAAACAAACCACTGTCAAAGATTTTCGATTCCCAACACTAGAGGCGTGCTAGCGGCACGCGAGAAGCGTAACAAATTTACTTTTAGTCAGCCACCATCAGGATCAACACTCAACACAATTTTAACCTTAAATTAAATTGTGAAAGTAATAAAACAAGTGCTGCCCAAATTTATTGATACCAATGAAAAAGTACGATAAATTAATTGAAATAATCACTAATGAATGTAAACATCGTCAACAAAGAAAATTTTAACATCAAAATAAACGGGCTTGGCGGAAAGCAGCAAAAGCATATCTGACCGTTTGATATTGATCAGTGTCTTACTTGATAACCATTTTAAAGCTTACCCAGAATTAAAAAAAAAATTTGGCTGAAGCAATTAATTGTAAACAAATAATGAGAAACTCACGAACGGGTTCTCATTTTTGCTCTTGAAAAAATGGCGCCAATTTGTGAGCGTCCCAGAAAGGATGTAAACAAAGGCAAGACAATGAATATGTTTCAAGCAAAATAACTTGAAAATTTAAAGTGATCGACTCCGCAACACTCAGGTCAAAGTAGTTAAACATTACAAATATAAAATAAATACCGTGGACACTTCATGCATATTGACGCAGTTCATTTTTTAATTTGACTTCTAGTAACCCTACCATCATCATTAAAGCCTTATTTCTAGAGTAACATTTGAAATAGGCCTATGTCCAAAACGTAAACAAACCAGAAAATGAATTTTAAATTTTGGCCGCCTCTATTCAATTCATATTTCAGGCATAACATTTGATAACGACACAAAAGCATTTGTAAACAAACTTTCTAAGGCCCTTTACACGAAAACCAAAGTACGCCTACGCAAACCAGCAACATCATCGGATAGGGGAAACTATCACCTTTCCGAAAGTGGTATTGGTTTGCGTGGGCGTACTTTGGTTCGCGTGTAAAGGGCCTTAGAAAGTTTGTTTACAAATGCTTTTGTGCCGTTATCAAATGTTATGCCTGATTTAAGAAAATTGAAGTATTTTAGGCATTTATATTGTTCACAATAACAATAGTAACTGTATCTCAGAATACAATATCCAAAATATGCGAAAAACTTTCAAAAATATATGAAAATCGATAACAATATAATTTCATAAATTAATAAGCCTTTTTTGTGAATCTTTCAATGGATAGGCCCTTTTTGTTAAGCCGTTGTGCTTGTCATCAGAAATGGTAGGCCCTTTGCTAAGTCTTTCCGCAACGTCAAATAAATTCAAAACAAATCATCGG